CCTCCCCGGCCGGGCTGGAGCCGTCCCGGGGGCTCGCCGTTCCTCCGACGGTGTGGGCAGGCCCGGTTACCGTCACCCCTTGTCTGCATGTCGGGTGTTCGCTGGGCTCCTCTGCCCTGGCGTCGGCCCGCGCCTGCTTCTCTCCCGAAAGCGGCCGCTGCGAATCACTCGGAGAAAACGCTGGAGGAGCGTGACGGCTCCTGGCTTCAGCAGCGGGATGGAGCGGTGTGCTGTGGCAGGAGGGATGGCTTAGGTCGGCGTGAGGAAGAGCCGAATACACTGTTTGTATAGAAAGGAGATAGTGATAGCAGATTAGTGCAGTTCAAGCAGATAGTCTGCATGTTACGGGCCCACTAATGAGGTGGCTATCCCATTAGACTCTGAACGAAGATACAAAGTAGGATAAACCAAAGATCTTTTTCTTTATCTTGCTAAATGACTCCCCAGCAAGTGTTGCTCTTGCAGAGGGACAGTTCTTCTGAGCTGTCAGTGTGCTGCATTGTTCTTCAACAGCTGCATTGTGGCTTGGTTAGACAATAGCAAAGCAGTGTATGGAGTGAAAGTGTGTCAGGCTTGTGCTATTCGAAAGCCTTGTCCTGATTGCTGGGCCAGGCCTGTGTTATACAGTTACAGATATTTTTAAAAAACTGATAATTAACATACTTGAACATCATTCAATAATATCTTCAGAATTATTAAAAAATAATACTGCTTGTTTGCTTTTGTTGCCTGGAAACACCCCTTTTAAACACAGTATTGGTATTGGAAACATCAAATCTGCTTTCCTTGTGCCAGAGGGGTAGTGCAGAGAAATCACAGAGCTTCTGATTTTTTTTCCTTTATTTTTTAGTACAAAAAATGTTTGTATTATCTTATAAAAGGATGGAATAGTGTTGTGTTATTTGGCAACTCAATTACAGCACACAAATCTGGATATCAGGATGTGTTCTGTTCTGTCCTGTATCTAAATGCATATAATGCTCTCATCCCAAAAAAGGGAGAGGTTTGGGAAGTAACAGCAACTCTAGAACCAAATTCTCAAATGTATATATGGCTCTTGGCCACTTACTTCCCTACAAATTAGATATCTAAATACCTTAGAGAACTTGGGTTGGATTTAATTCGGTTTACTTTGGTGAGCAGTGTTTCTGTTCCCTCAAAGGCATTTCCAAGCAGAGTTCTGGATTTTTTTGAAGAAAAATCTTTATATGGTTTATCATCTTGCTTGCCAGCATGCTTCCTGTCTGTCAGCATGTCTGGCATGTGTATTCTTAACTTAAGCTCTATGGGAAAGGATGTTTTGATAATTATAGCTCTTACTTGGTTAAATACCATGGTGTACTTTAAATGTAAGCACCTGTAAAAACCAGTACTGTGAAAACAAATGAGGTGTATTAAAATGACATCAAAGTCAAGAAGGTGAAAATAAAATCCAGTTTGCCACAGCATATAAAAGCTTTTAAAAATACTGAAGTGTGTGATGAAGCTGATGCTTCTGAATAGTTACAGAAGAGGCATCTGTAGGCCCGCACCTCTCCCGGGCGTGCTGCTTCTTGTCGGGGCGAACGCTCAGCTGCTCCTGTCTTCCTGAATGTCGCGTGTCACTGCAGCTGCACGGACTGTTCCCCTTCTGACCAAAGGCTTCTGAATGTACTGCTGAGATTCTCCTGAGCAGGTGTAACTATGTCCTGCCTGCACACCCCCCATTATGCTTTTGTTCCTGTTTGCCAGCTGGAGAAGCTGAACAGCCTCCCAGGAAAAACTCAGTCAACATTTGCTTGATTAGGTTAATTTTGAAATCCTTATTCAGTCTTCTGAAATGAATTAGTTTGCTGTTACGTGCATTTCTTTTGTCCAGTTCCTTTCTTCTGCTTTGTGAGGTGAGGCTGCGAAATACCTGTGCAGCACCTGGCTTGCTGCCGCACGAGACCCTGCCTGTTATGTTTTAACCCCCCTGTGTGGGAGGCAGCAATAGCTGAGGGACTGAAACAGAAAAACATGTCAAGCATACAAGAAAATGGGTAGTAGTTTTAAGATTAGTAAAATGCTGAGGCCTTCTCTGTCCCTGTTCTACATGCTTAATCTCTAGTCCCTGGTGCCCGAGAGAAGGCTGAAGGTGATGGGAAGTCCAGCGAGCTAGATTCCCCCTTTGGTTTCCAAGGGGCAGCTTTGTTCTTACCCAGAGCCAAGACTGTCCTGATAGCTGTGCCTTGCGCTGTGAATTGGTGTTTTGTCCGCATCTGTGCCCTGGAGATGTCGGCTTCATTCAGCTGTAAGCTGCACCTGCACACTGAGGTTATCTCTGCAAGCCCACTCTGTGAACTGGGGACATCAATGCTTATTGTAAAATGAGGATATATATGTACAGAAATGCTATGCATATTATTGTAAAAAACTTTAAAGTGAAAAATTGAAAACTTTGGCTCAAAAGGCCAGTCAATATTAGTTTATCTGTTAGTTTTCATTACTTTGCTAAGAATGCTAACTTGACTGGGTTCAGGGAGCCAGACTACATATGAGCAAATAAAGGAAGACTTCGGTGTCTTCTGGTTTGCAAGAAATCTGACAAGGATAAATTAAGCCTCTAGTTCATATTCTTAACAAAGCTTGAACTCTGTAAACAGAAGGATGTGTCCACTGATTATTTATAATTCTACTTTTTTTGTAGACTTCCTTTGTTGTTGATGAAGTCAGTGGCATCATTAAAGAGGTAAACTAATATTTTCATTTTATTTTTGTGAAAGTATAGTACTTTACATGCTGTGTGCTAAAAAGCATTCAGGAAAATCTGCTAACTGATATATAGTAGATTTCTAGATAGGTTGCTATCAAAGTATAGATAATTATTGATTTAACCAATGTGCATACTTTAAGTGGAAATGATACCTAGCCTTAGCTATGATATGTATTACAAATCCAAAAGATAACTAAAATAATTTCATATGCTCCTCTCTGGTTGCAGTGTGTCCCTATTGAAATTTCTCGGGGGATGTTGTATGTTAAGCCCTATAGAGATAGATCTCATGTTTCAGTAACATATAGGGGTTTCTATAGGCTATCTGCATGAGCATGTTACTGTGTTCTTTTGAGATGCTTTTCCTCTGAAATGAGTTCTTGTCTGTTTGAAATTATTTAACTGTTCTTGTTGCTAAAAACATTCGTTTCCTGTCTAGAAAATTTCCAAAGGGATTTGTTTTTTCTGTCCAGAATTCCTCATGTAGACTAGTGCAGTTTTTTTCTTGTTGCAAAACACCTGTTTCAGTCAGACCCTGTGAACTGAAGATGCTTTAATGCATGCTCCCGTCTCTTCTGAATCTGAAATAATTTACTGGTTATTTCTAAAACAGTTTCTGCAAAGAAAAAATGTAGCAATGAAAAATATGCTACTTCAATGTATTTTTGTTTGTATCATAAAGGGAAAACTTTCCTCATAAGCAAAATGGATTATGTGGCTGAAGGCTTCTCCTCTATTAGTAACCAGCAACTGCAGGAGTCTTTTGATTTGGGGTTTTGTTTCCCAGAAATGATTCTACGGAAAAATCTAAAGTTCATTTCTATAGAAGAGTATGTGTGAATGTTGTATGCATTTTTTCAGACTCTTCAGGACTGTTTAAGTGCAGGGCTCTTGTCATAACTCTGGCTTTAGGATATTGGGATAGAAATTAAAAATAATGAATTAAAATATCACAAAATGTAGAGAGGATGGAATCTGTAATTCCCCCTGTGCCTGGCTCAAGCTCTGACCTGCAAGTTTTTTAATAATTGAGAACACAATACTAAATACTTCTTGTCCAACAATCAGTATGGACAAGCAGTATTTAGGATTTTTTCTGTGGCTCTGGGGTCTTTAGTGCTCCATGTTGGAATGGATTTGTGGATGCCTCGTGGCTTGACAACAGTGCAGCTTATTTTACGTGTTTGTCGCCAACAGGCCATAGAAAGTGCGATAGGTGGCAACGCCTACCAGCACAGCAAGGTGAACCAGTGGACAACCAGTGTGGTGGAGCAAACGCTAAGCCAACTGACCAAGCTGGGGAAGCCTTTCAAGTACATTGGTGAGCTCAACTTTCTCTGCTCTGTTAAAGGTGGTACAGTCAAGTGCAGTGATGGGTAGGGGGTGGGGGAAGATCTTAGCAAGAATTGTGTCTGGTAACTACTCGTAAGCACGTATATATGCTTCTGTGTGTATGTATGTACTATGCTAAGCAAAAATGTAGCTCAATGTTAATTAATGTTAGTGATAAATTAATAAAAGCTTCTCTGCTGACTAACAGTGACCTGTGTGATTATGCAAAAGAATGGTGCTGGGCTACATACAGCAAGCTCTTGCTTCTGGGACAACTCCAGTGATGGTAAGGAGCAGCACAACGGTGGGATTTTTCAGCTTGCAACTTTAATGCTAGTCCCCTTAAGACCAGGCCGCGTACTTTGATTTTTTGTATCGTTTTGGAGTAATAGCAGACAGTTTGGAATTTTTTCCATTTGGCTGTGATGCTAACTCTTACATATATTAAATGCTTAGCTGTTGTAAAAACTTCATTCTTAAGATTCTTAATGTAAACAATTACAAACATGCATATAGAGGCATGTATTTAATCACTGTAACGTTCTTCTGTCTCGTATTTGTAGGCACCTGCACTGTGAGATGGGAGAACAAGACTATGTACTGTATTGTCAGTGCCTTTGGACTTGCAATATAATTGCCTTGGAATCATTCATCCTTCTCTTTTCTACTCCAGCACTTGATTCCATCTCTTCTCAAACTGTGAATACACTGAACAACTTCTGGTTTTAATGTACTTTTTAAGTAACTTTTTTCAAAGGTAGAAATGTGAAAACATGCTGTTACATGGTTTATGTTTGTACTTAGTATCTATCGTACCAGTGTTGCCATACTGTCTTAACACTTCAAGAACCTCTCCTCAAGGTGCTAATACTGAAATCTGCTGCAGTGCAAACACTTTCTCTAGATTTCTTTTTTTAAGACCAATATAAACAAGACACTGACTTTCACACTTTGTACTTTTGGTTAGCATTAAATTATTGAAATTCATAACCACTGGTGTGACTCATTTAAACTTAACTCTTTTGGTTTTTGTTTTTTTTTTTTTTTTAAAAAGGTTCCCATTCTTTTAATTCTCTTCAAGGTAGTTGGGATAAATACCAGAATGCAAAGTACTTCCATAATTTTGCCAAAGTAACTACAAAATTGCAAGCAAATTAGATGATATTTATCAGAAAGTAACTTGGCTGCAATTTTGGGACCTATTTAATCTGATTGTATGGTATTTATGACATAGAACAGTAACAGAAATAACTATCTTAATTGGACAAAGCCATTCTAGAAGTGCTCAGCAAGCTGTACCTGGGTAATCATTCACTGCTGCAGCCAGTGACACGTGACTTACCTGCTACCTTCTATCCTGATGTTGCTGATAGTGAGGTGATGAGTTCTGATAGTTGGTGAAACATGATCCTTTCTGAAAGGGGGAAAGAATGCCTCTAGGTGCCATGACTAAAATATATGTAAGTCTCCTGCCTTCTAGAGTAAAGTTGCAGAGGAATAACAAGTAAAACAAGTTTTCAGCCTTATGCAATTAACCGAGTTTAATTATGCATTAGAAAACACATGTAATGGTACAGTTAGTGATTCACTAGAAGGAAAATAAAAACAAGATACAATATAAAGATATAAAACTTTATTATTAACATATTTAACAATGATTATGCACATGAAGTCTTCCAAGAAACTCAATACCCAACTTTTGCTTGAAATAAAATACTTGTTTTTCCTTCATATTCCATATTAGTATGAAGTTTTCCAACATAAATGGATAATTTGCTGTCATTAACACAATTTCTAGACACATAGAATATTTAACAGATGTCCTCATGCACACTTCTCAAAGCAGCATTAATTACAGCTTCTCATTAAACAGAGCATTTATCTTACACATTTTTATACCATTTTGGTACACAATTTCCCCATATTTTCATTTTACATATTTACAAACTTCTAAAAAAAGTTTTACAGTAATGCAAAGGTTATTACTGGCATAAGCAAAAGGAAATGGAGGGACAAGTGGGTGGCTATGGATACAGCGTTGTCTTTTGACTCAGAGAAATACAACAGATGAAAGTCTGTCCCAGGGGGAACCATCCTTCCATTTTCCCAGTATTAGCTCCACCGGTCTGTTGCGCTCGCTGTCCCTTACTGGTGCTAAGCCTTATGCTTCCTGTTTGCCAGTCCTAGGAGTTCCCAACCAATTCCAACACCAACCCTATTTTTAAAGCAAATACTACAGAAAATGGTTGCTGTGGATGGCTCACACTCAATGACTGGTTTCTTAAAAGAAACCTCTTGCTTGTCGTGTACATGGAAGTCTTGCAGTTATTTAACAGAGGGCATCTCCTTTACAGCAGGAACCCTATACACTTGTGGGGCCTTTCTGCATACTTTCCTCATTTTATACAGTTCCACTAGTGATGGAAACATTTAATTACTTTAGCAGTAACAAAAGAAAAGCCAGGCTAGTTTATTATCCCCAGATCTCTTCGTTTCACCCTCAGGTTACAATACTTTACTCAGAGGTGAATTTATGCCACCTATTCCCAAGCTGTTTACAATCCACACTGTAATATCCCTCAAATATACAGTCTCTGCTTTCCAACTGTGGAAATAAAAGATTGTGAAACTGACATTTCTTGCTAGCAAAAATACTTCCTCATCTGCTTCACTGCTTTTGCCTTTTTTCTGTATATTGAATTTGATGCAACAGTGCTTCGACCAAGCTTACCCTTACACTCTAGCACTTTGGAAATACAAAACCCTTTTGCATGGCAAACATTGCTTAGCTGTAATCTCTAAAAATTAACAAAGAAATTATTTTCTCGCTGTTTTCATAGCAAGATACTTATTTTAAGTACACATTTCCCATTCTCAGCTTTCCTATTTTCACTTTGAATGTAGTGATGTAGAAAAGTTAATGCAAACAAAACAGCAAGTGAAATGGACTGAGAGCACTTTAGAAAAAAACCATCATCTCAAAAGTAGATTAAAAATATTTTCTATAGTTAATGAAATCCCAGAGCATGACACTGTATTTCAGCGCTAACTGTAACAACCAGTTCAGACTGTGATAAGAAACATAAGTATACTTTGCACATTGGTCAAATCAAACATTTTATCTCCTCAGAACAATTTAGAACAGAATTAAACAATATCGGAGCCAAAAAGATCTGAATATATCAGGATCATGTAAATATCATTTTTTGAAGCCCTAACTCCTATACCCACTGTTACTCCAATGGAAGCCAAAAGGATACACAAAGGGTGCCTAGCTGGGTCCTAAGCTGGACTCTGCAAATTCAAACAGCTGCAAGCCTCAAGAGAGTCATCTGGGGAACAGTAAAAATAAGAACAGTCTCTCCTCTTTCATGATACAAAGATCATCTCTCATACTTGTTTAAAAAAAAAAAGTCTAAAAGGAAGTGCTGAAGTTATGGCTTATTACAGTACATTGGAAAAAACCCCACCACTACATTGAAATACTTCTTTAATGTTTTCCTATATGTTCTTCCAAACTGATTTCAAGTAATTAAGAAATTAAAGGAAAAACCTTCCTCTCCCCCCAGCAGTTTCCTTGCTTTAGCCATACAATAGTGCTTTGGCTTCTAACAAATAAACCAACCCTGGTACAGAAAGTTTTAAATTTCAAATACCCTCAAAAAATGTCACAGCTCTACATAATTTTAGAAAGTTTTCTCTCTCTCTTACACACAGAGAGTATCTCAGCACACTTGTCTTTAGCAGAGCACTGATTTAATCTGAACTATTCTATGACAGCAAGGATGCAACTGCATGAAACAGTTCCTTTGGTCCCCTCTAGGCAAACTGCTATCCTGTGAAGCCTCCCATTCATGATCTGGAGCAGCCACCAGGAGATATTGCAACGGGAATGGTCTAGAACATCTAGAACATCGAAGCAGAACAAATCTACGTTCCCCCAATATGATTGAGCAAGTCTAGTAGGACACACTGCACTCTTCTGCTTAAACTAGTTCAATGATGAGTACCACTCCCTAGTGTAAGCCAGCACCATTTTCTGTCTGATACATTAACAGTGCTTTTGAGAGTTTTTCCTACAGCAGCAGGGCAAAGAAATTTTAAGAGAGTAAATCACAGTTACAAATCCATGAAAAAAAAGACAGGTCAAGTACCTGAAAACAAAAGTAGTTAGAAACAAACAGCATCCACTTAAACAAAGAACTTAACAATGGTGTAGGAGAAAACCAAGTTTTCAATAGAGAAGCAGCAGCATTGTACTAGGAATACTTAATTCCCGTGTAACTTGGTTCCAGCACAGACTGGGATACAGATAATCACAAAATGTGCTAGTAAAAGTTTCAATCAGTACAGGTGGCCACTGGTATGACAAAGAAGTTGAACTATGCACAGAACATGCTCAAAAGCCAACTCTCATGCGCATTCAACACAGGAGCAGCCACGATTGATCCTAGGATGTACAATAACTATTAATACAACTTAAGGAAAACTTCTGATGTAGAAAAAGCCTCTAAAAATGAAATGTTTGGAAATTTGAAATTGTAATTATGAAACTTACATACTGTATTCTCTGTTAGTGTAACAATCTCCTCCAGCTTACAAAAAAAAACACAGAAAGAAGAGTACTGGCTTCCTTCTGAGATTTGTTGCTGCCTAAGTGTTTCCACTTGAAAGGGCTATTTAACAAAAAAAACAACAAAAAGCCAACCAACCAAAACAAACACTTCTGTTGTGGTGGTAAAGCATGTTATGAAACATACATTATACAAATAATTTTGCACCACTGAGGTTATTTTGGCTCACTAGAACTTGACTATTTGCACATATCTCACATTTACAAATCTTGTAAACTCGTTCAAATGAATTTTTAAAATTGCCTTAAGTCTATATCACTTCTTCGAAGGAAGAACAGACAGCTTCTGTTTTCTTGCATTTAAAAAAGAGAGAGAGAGAGAGAGAGAGAGAGAAACCATAAAACACTTCATTCCCTGCCTCCAGTTCAAAAGACTAAGGTAGAAAATTGAAAGGGAGATGAGGCACTTTGTTACAGCAGTGGACAATACATAAAGGAGATAACACAAATGCAACAGATGAATGACAGTATGTTGTACATAATCCTCAAAAAAAAAAGCAACCAAAAAACCCCCCAAAAACCAAAACAGCAAGGAAGCAATTTTAAAATCAGCATATAATCAGTGATGCTTCTAAATGGAAATAGACTTAAAGGTTTTAGTCCACAGACATCCTGCTATCAGGCATTTTACTAGATGTGTAAAAATTTTGGTTTCATAAGTTTTCACCACAACCTTTTCAAGCATTCTTTTTTCAGTTTTAACTTTGTAAACAGAAACAGAAGCAGGATGCCCTTCCTGGGAGTCGGTGGTCAGATGACAGCAGACTGTAAGGAAGCCAAGGAAGTTGTCCATCTAGGAAAACTTCAAAATTGCTTTAATTCCAGCTGAACAAGTCTGTCTACACCAAAATCAATCACTGTCCGATTCCTCTTTATACTTGGCTCTAATAGCTTGGCCATTCTGAAGTGGCATTTCTTCATAGTCACTCCTGTGAAACAGATACTTGTTAAAAATTCTGGACAGTCTTCAGATATTAAACAGGAAAGTTATAAACTATATTGAGGCATCAAACTGTTACTTGGGTAAGAAAGTGGTATCTGTTTTAATTCCTTGCTGGAGATCTGAACAATATATATGACTTGTCTCCAGAGGATGATGCATAATGAAAGTTATTCCGGTAACTACAAGCCACTCTTCACAAGGATTAGTATGGAAACAAGCTGGTACTACTGCTACTCATCTAACTAAACAAAGGCAAGCTCTCTCAGACAATGCATATAGCTAGCCTAGCACAGACTTGGTCAGGCTACTGCAGTATAAACCCCATCCTCACTGTTCCAGCCACTTCAGTGTCCTGGTGAAAACATCAGGGGCAGACAATGAGTTTGTTCGGTGTCTAGCACAGAGACACCTGAC